TTACCCATGAAACTGAAACTTATGTGACCTATAGACATCTCCACTTGGGTCTATCGTACGCAGCCTTACCCTGTATTTTTGCGAGAGGCTGTTTTCACATCTCTTAGTCCAAAATCCATGTTACTTAGACTTGAATTTCCCCATTGTTACCCCATGTGAAAAATTGACTCTAGCAGTGGAGAGGGGTTTACCCATGAAACTGAAACTTATGTGACCTATAGACATCTCCACTTGGGTCTATCGTACGCAGTCTTACTTTGTATTTCTGCAAGAGGCTGTTTTCACGTCTCTTAGTCAAAAATCCATGTTACTTAGACTTGAATTTCCCCAGTGTTACCCATTTGAAAAATTGACTCCAGCAGTGGAGAGGAGTTTACCCATGAAACTGAAACTTATGTGACCTATAGACATCTCCACTTGGGTCTATCATATGCAGCCTTACCCTGTATTTCTGCAAGAGGTTGTTTCCACATCTCTTAGTCCAAAATCCATGTTACTTAGACTTGAATTTCCCCATTGTTACCCATGTGAAAAATTGACTCCAGCAGTGGAGATGAGTTTACCCATGAAACTGAAACTTATGTGACCTATAGACATCTCCACTTAGGTCTATCGTACGCAGTCTTACTTTGTATTTCTGCAAGAGGCTGTTTTCACGTCTCTTAGTCCAAAATCCATGTTACTTAGACTTGAATTTCCCCAGTGTTACCCATGTGAAAAATTGACTCCAGCAGTGGAGAGGAGTTTACCCATGAAACTGAAACTTATGTGACCTATAGACATCTCTACTTGGGTCTATCGTACGCAGTCTTACTCTGTATTTCTGTAAGAGGCTGTTTTCACGTCTCTTTGTCCAAAATCCATGTTACTTAGACTTGAATTTCCCCATTGTTACCCATGTGAAAAATTGACTCCAGCAGTAGAGAGGAGTTTACCCATGAAACTGAAACTTATGTGACCTATAGACATCTCCACTTGGGTCTATCGTATGCAGCCTTACCCTGTATTTCTGCAAGATGCTGTTTTCACGTCTCTTAGTCCAAAATCCATGTTACTTAGACTTGAATTTCCCCATTGTTACCCCATGTGAAAAATTGACTCCACCAGTGGAGAGGAGTTTACCCATGAAACTGAAACTTATGTGACCTATAGACATCTCTACTTGGGTCTATCGTACGCAGTCTTACTCTGTATTTCTGTAAGAGGCTGTTTTCACGTCTCTTTGTCCAAAATCCATGTTACTTAGACTTGAATTTTCCCAGTGTTACCCATGTGAAAAATTGACTCCGGCAGTGGAGAGGAGTTTACCCATGAAACTGAAACTTATGTGCCCTAGACATCTCCACTTGGACATTCTCCGGGTGGGTGGGGGTTGGGGCATTTAGGTATTGGACACAAAGAAGACAATGAGAAATGCATGCAAGTCATGATTGAAACAGTGGAATATGGAATTTCGCCGAACTGCTAGCTCTAAATTTCCTAATCCAAACAAAAGAACATAAACAATTTTAGGCTTTATGTGGTCGGGCAGACACTGATGCTGTTAAAGCTTGACATTCTTGGAACTACACTGCAACTTCTTGGAAAAAGATAATGAACACTATTTAATAAAACTACAGCTTGCAAATAAAGTTGACTTTTGCTTGCTTTCCTCTTAGTTTTTTTGGGGTGATAAATTCAACAGATTGACTCGGTATCCTACGTATGTGGGACTCTACCCAAAAAGTAGGAGTATGTGGCATTACATTTGAGCTTAAAATTTGGTATAATTACGGAGGAAGGGCAATTGAACAGAATTGTCGTAAAACTATTCCATCCACACCTTTATTTATGTTATATATTCCTAAATCAGCATTCATGGATTTGTACCAATATAAAATAGAAAAAGACTACGAATTGTAATCTTGTGATTCCGACCACTAAATCTCGCCCACGTTTGGCTCTTAAGGCTAAACAGCTTCTCACGCCCTTGCCAGATAATCAAAAAGCAAGATAAGCTTATTCCTTCCAGCACCTAACGTTACAAAAGATTCGTCAAAAATTCGAAAACCATTAGATTAATAATGTGACAAGCGAACATGTTTTAAATTTTATTAAATATGAATTGTTATTAACAGTGTCACAAGAATATTACAACTGTTTAAAATCTCAATATTCCAATATTTTGCCTTTTAAGTCGTGAAATTTTTCTTGTTTTCATTTCCTCTGAACATAAGATGTCATATCACTATAACCCTTATCAAACTTAGAGAGCTAACTGGAAGTGAGCTCGAGCTGAGCTCCAATGGAGATTCAGTGGAAGTTTCTGGATAGAGCAATTTGTACGAAGAAGAAGAGAGAAATGGGAAAATGAATCTCAAAATGTATTAATGCCTCAGATAGTAACAAATATACAAGTCAAGGAAAATAATACAGCTGGCAGGTAACTGCCACTCACAACGTATACATCTGGCAACTAACTAACAAACTAACTCACCAATTAACTAATAATTAAGCTATGTCTTAACACCCCCCTCCCCCCCTCCAGTTGTTCTTGTTTTCATTTCCTCTGAACATAAGATGTCATATCACTATAACCCGTATCAAACTTAGAGAGCTAACTGGAAGTGAACTCGAGCTGAGCTCCAATGGAGATTCAGTGGAAGTTTCTGGATGGAGCAATTTGTACGAAGAAGAAGAGAGAAATGGGAAAATGAATCTCAAAATGTATTAATGCCTCATATAGTAACATATATACAAGTCAAGGAAAATAATACAGTTGGCAGGTAACTGCCACTCACAACGTATACATCTGGCAACTAACTAACAAACTAACTCACCAATTAACTAATAATTAAGCTATGTCTTAACACACCCCTCCCCCTCCCCCCCCTCCCCCAAGTTGGAAGTGAGGGAAGAACATCCAACTTGTTCAATATGGCAGAATGTTTGATGCTTGTCAAAGCCTTAGTTAGGATGTCTGCTAATTGAGCATTGGTAGGGATGTGGTGCAAGGAGATGAGTCCTTCTTAAAGTTTATCACGCACAAAGTGGCAATCAACCTCGATATGCTTGGCTCGTTCATGAAAAATAGGATTCCTGGCTATATATGCAGTGCAGATTGGCTGTCACAATAGACATTAATTGGTTAAGGAAAAGGGACATTCAACTCTCCAAATAGTCTGCTCAACCATACCAATTCTTCTACAACCTTTCTAAGTGACATGTACTCTGCATCTACAGAAGATAATGAAATAGTCTCTTGCTTCTTGGACTTTCAGCTGACGGGACTGTGACCTAGTAAGATAATGTAGCCACTGACAGACTTTCTAGAATCTGAACATGCTGCCCAATCAACATCACAGTAGGCTCACATAGTGTAATCCTCATCTTTGGAAAAGAATATCCCCAAAGTTGGATCATTTCTCAGATATCTGAGCAGGTGAAAGGCTGCCTTAAGGTGAGGCTCTCTAGGGTCCTGCATGAATTGACTTAAGTGTTGGACCCCATAGGCAATGTCTAGTCTGGTGTTGATTAAGAAATTGAGTTTGCCAATCAACTTTCTGTAATAAGTGGGATCTTGTAATGTGGCACCCTCATTTGCTTTTAACTTGACAGTAGGATCAAATGGAGAAGAAAAACCATTTTCGGATAAACAATCATATTCTTTCAATAGGTCTAATGCAAATTTTCTTTGTGATATCACCACACCATCTCCTTTGTATATCACTTCCATTCCTAGGAAGTAGTGCAGCTTACCAAGATCCTTAATTTTCAAGTTGGTATGAAGAAAAGCCTTCAGTTGATTCAATTCCACTGTATCAGTGCATGTGACAACTATGTCATCTACATAGACTGCCACATAAATTGCATTAGTGCTTTTTTTTTTAATATAATAGTGAGTAATCAAGCATGGAATGGGTATAACCTCTGGAACATAGTGTCTCACTCAACTTAGCATACCACTGCCTGCTTGCATATTTTAGACCATATGAAGACTTGTTTAACTTGTAAACTAGTCCTGGAATAGTGACCTCCAAACCTGGTTGAACCTCCATCTACACCTCTTCATGGAGATCATCATGAAGGGATGTATTATTGACATCAAGTTGGGACATGAACTAGCCTTTCTTAACTGCAGTTGCAATCAAATCTCTGACCGTGGTCATTTTTACCACAGGAGAGAACGTTTATGTGTAGTCAATTCCATCTTGTTGTGTGTATCCCTTCACAACTAATCTTGCCTTGAACCTCTCAACACTCCCATCTGCCATATGCTTTATTTTGTATACCCATTTGTATCCTATGACTTTCTTGCCAGGGGGAAAAGATACTAAGTCACATGTGGGATTGCTGTATTCGACATCAAATTCCTGAGTCATTGCTTCCTTCCAAGTAGGATTGACAGCAGCTTCCTCATATGAAATTGGCTCCATGTCATGACAAATATTTCTCACAAGAGCCTGACTATCATGGCTTAGTGCTTCAGCAGATATAGAGTTATGGCTAGAGAATAATGTATTAAGTGAAAAGGAGTTATCAGGACATACATGGGGCAACATTCTTTGGTTTTAGGTTTGGAATGGAATGGATATAGTCTTTTAAGTATGCAAGTGTTTTATGTTCTCTGAGGGATCTTCTAAGTCCAATATGTGGTGTAGATGGTGTAGGGCTGTGGGACATAAAATCACCTTCTATAGGGAAGTGGTGATCCATTGATGTGGAACTGCCAGATGCAGGAGATTGATCATGTGAGACTAGGTGAGGAGATAAGTGATTGAAGGGCATTGCAGGTTGTGTGACACTTTACATGTGCTGACTAGTGTGTTGTTCTGGCTCAGCATCCAAACAATCAATAAAAGGAATGGAATTGAGGATTGATGGAAAAGAGCTAGTGTTATTATGCATAGAAAAGGGAAAAACAGACTCATTGAAGGTCACATCTCTAGAAATGTGTATTTTTCTGGTGGCCAGATTTAAGACCTTGTATCCTTTTGTCTCAAAGGGATAACCAACAAAAACATGAGGGGTAGTTCTTGGTTCAAACTTGTCTTTATGAGGTTTAGGGACTGTAGGGTAGCACAAGCACCCAAAACTTCTCATCTGTGAGTACTTAGGTTTCCTTTTGTATAGGAGTTCATATGGACATTTGTTATTCAAGATACTAGAATGGAGTCTGTTTATGATATAGGTTGCACAAAGAATACACTCACCCCAGTACCTAGTCGGTAGTTTTGATTGGAAAAGAAGGGCTCTAGCAGTCTCTACTAAATATTTATGTTTTCTCTCCACTATGCCATTTTGTTGTGGTGTGTAGGGACACTCTTTGGTGTATTATACCTTTGGATTGAAAGAGGAGACTGGCTTGTGTATTGGTGAACTCCAGGCCATTGTCTGATTTAATGATTTTGATTCTGGTATTGAATTGGTTTTCTATCAAGGCTACAAAGGCTTTAATAACTTGAAGGGCATTACTTTTACATGATAGAAGATGAGTGCAGGTGAATCTACTATAGTCATCTACCATGGTGATAAAGTACATGTGGTTATCATGTGTTGTTACATAGTAAGGTCCCCACATATCAACATGCAGTAATTCAAATATTTTGATAGTGATGTTGGTCTTCTGGGGAAAGGGAAGTCTTTCTTGCCTGGCCATAGGGTAAATGGAGAAAAGGAAAGGTTGTTTGGATGAAAAACTAGCAGGTATTGAGGTAATACTCTTCATCTTGACAAAAGGCACATGGCCAAGTCTTTTGTGCCACAGGACATTCACATCATTTCCAACAGGTATGTGAGAATTCAGAGTAAAAGGTTGTTCTTTATTGCTTGCAGATGAACTATTTACAATTGAAAAATGAACACACTTATTCATGAGTAATGAGTTATTTACAGTGCTATGAAGATGACAGTGTGTGTTGCAAGCACAACAACAAGACAAAGGAAGAACACTGATTGTAAGACCGAATTGTTTGGTTTGCAAGCATTTTTGGCATATGAAGTACAAGCCATACATGGCTTTACCAATCACCAGAGGCCTCTTCATTGAAGGGGCCTGCAACAGACATGAATTTTTAGAAAAAACAACCAAACGTTCAGGTTTAGTTAGAGAGTGAACAGAAATCAAATTGTATTTGAAATTTGAAATAGGGTATAAACAACACTTTTTTCAAGATGATTTTAGGTACAAGTGCCATACTGCCAATCTGTGTTACCCTTACTTTATATTTTCTTTTGGGAGAATAACAAGGAGTGGATATGGTAAAGTTATAATTTTGGTCAGTAAGGATTTGTTGAAGGTCATGTGATTTGAAGCCCCCAAAATCCAATATCCAAGAGTCGGCTCTATTTTTGAAACAATTACATGACAGTTTACCAAAGTCAATAGAAGATGTGCATGCAACAATACCTGCAAAGTTGACAGTTACACTGGCTAGATTCACATTGCTTGTGCTCTCTCCTCCATTTCCCATTTGAAAGTGCTGCAGCAGGTTCTTGATCTGCCCATACTGCTCCTGAGTCAAATTAACACCTTGGTTATGCTTTTGTGTACCAGTTTCATCATGTGGTGGAATATCCACTTGAGGGTCATGTATATTTGCAATTGTCTTGCTCACTCTGCTAAAGCCACTATTGGGCTTGAAATTCTTATTTGCATTGTGATGGCCAAAATTATTATTCCCCTTGAAGTTTTGATTTGAATCCTGAGGATATTCATGTAGCTTGTAACACCTTTCTTTGGTGTGCCCTGATTTCTTACAATGCTCACACACTGGCCTTGACCTATTTGCACCATTATAGTTGAGGCTAGGGGAGTAATTGGTCGTGTAACTATTCTGCCTTGAGGTGTTTACATTTAGGGAGGTTAATTCCAAAGCGAGCTGATTACTAGGTCTAATTTCCCTCTGTTTTTCTTCTTGGACTAACAGAGAGAAAGCTTGTACCATTGAAGGTAGTGGATTTATCATCAAAATGTTGCCTCGCACTACAGTATAGACCTTATTAAGGCCAATGAAGGAATTATATTAGTCTCCTATCTTGTTTTGCCTTGTGTATACTCTCTTTGGCTCCACAGGTTCAATGACAAGTACATTGATTTTTAGCACTTAGGTTGCTTAGTTCTTCCCACAGCTTTTTCATCTTAGTGTAATATCCTGTGATGTCGAGGGATGTAACGACCCGACTTGTCATTTTAAGAATTAACACCCCGTTCAACGACTTAAGGTCCCGGACAACTTCATAATATGTATTATGACCTGCGAGTGTGGTCGAGTTTGATTTTTCGGAAGATTTAGAATTTAATTGAAAGAGAAATTCTCATTTTTGAAGCTTAAATGGAAAAAGTTGACCAGAGAGTTGACTTTTGAACAAACGGCCTCAGAATAGAATTTTGATGATGTCAATAGCTTCGTATGGTGATTTCAGACTTAGGCGCGTGTTGGGATTTGGATTTGGAGGTCCGTAGGACAATTCGACGCATTTTGGCGAAAGTTGGAAAATAGACGATTTTCGGAAAGTACGATCGAACGTTGAATTTTTTATAACGAGGTCGGAATCTGATTTTGGAAATTGGAATAGGTCTGTTATATTATTTATGACTTTCGTACAAAATTTGAGGTCAATCAGACTTGATTCGATAGGTTTCGGCATCAAATATATAAGTTGGAAATTTCATAATAGACTAAAGTTTCAAGTGAGTTCGCACAAGACTTAACTTCAAACGAGCACACCTCTATTGATATGAAGATTTATATGGTGTATTATATATCAAAAGAAAGGTCTATGTGTCTAGTTTCCAACACTTCAAACCGTTTGTCATTTGGACATTCCTACACGAAGTTATGACTAAATTACCAAAGGCTGTCAGAATGCGATTCTACGACAATTATGTGACCACTATGCGATAGCAAAATGGTTATGCGACCGCGAGCTGGTCGCAAAATGGTCCAGAACAGCCCAGATCTGGGAACTGATTTATGCGATCATTGTGCGACCCGCACATCAATTTTGCGGTCCATTGTGCGACCGCAAAACTGAGTTCGGAGGGTTAATTTTTCTATTTTCATAACCCGACCCTATTTTGATAAATAGGCTTTGGGGTTTATTTTGGAGCAATTATCTGAGATTTTTTAGAGAGAAGTGAGAGTGTTCTAGAGAGAGAAAGTAGATGAAGTATTTTTTTCATCAAAAATTTGTCCAAACTTTGAAATCCAACAAGGAAATCTCACAAGTTCTTCATCTAAGAGGTAAGGTTCCATACCCTAGTTTTCAATTTCAAATTTGGGTAGAAGATGGTTGATTAGGAGTATGATTCTTGGGTATGAGAGTATTATTTATACATGCATGTACCAATAAGATTTGTGGAAAGATTGTTGAGCTAAAATAAGTAAAGATTGGGTTGAGGAGTGAAGGAAACCTTGTAGAAGAATCTTGTAGTCGAATTTGCACACCTAGTGATTGATAAAATGCTCAAATGAGCTGAAACCATGAAATCTTCCTAATTATGATTCACTTTTGTTATGTTTCTAAATAGATTGAAGTTGCTAGGATTTTCGGAATCTCGTAGTAATGTAAGGAAGGCTCAAGAAAGATTGGAGTCGTCCGAAGGTCTATTCACGTGAGAAAGCTATTTTGGAATATCGGCCTAACTTCAAAAAAGTAAGTATCTTGCCTAACCTTGAGTGGGGGAATTACCCCTTAGGCATTGAGTCTTATGTGGAAAAAAATTATGTTATTGAAAACCATCTACGCGAGGTGACGAGTACGTACTTGGTTTATATGTGCATATTATATCGATTGAAATTTGTAGACGCCCTTAAATATTAAATTGGAAAATTGTTGTAACTTATTAAATTCCTTATTTGTCATGCCTCATTCCTTGTTTGACGAGGTTATTTTTATATGATAATTTGGTGTGATTTCCACTTGACTTTTATGTGAACTCTGTGTTTGTTTGAGTTCCCATTTTTATGGAAAACACTTTCATTATCGATTTTTCCTACAGATAATTTAAATGGAAAATTTAGTTAATAAGATGAATAAATCTATTTATTTCTTG